GTGTTTCACTTCTCTTCAGCTACCTAAACTTAAAAAGTGGAATATATATTATCAACAGGTTGATAGAGATAAAAAATTTGAATACCTGAATGTATTTAAACTAATACTCTGTCCATTTAAGGTAATTTAAAATGAGTGGTCATTTGAAGAGCAGAGGTGGGTAAAAAATAATAGGAGTACTTTTAGGGCTACTTAATTCTTAAATTGTAAAAATAAAACTGTATGAAACCTATGTGAAATAATGAGTGTTACATGTTAAATGAATCAATCGGTATTTTAGTCAATTTAGAACTAAAAGCCAGCAAAATAAAACTGTACAAAATTGTAATTAATAGATTTCAATTTTTAAATGAATTATAGGATTTTTTAAAGTTCTTTAAAGGAATATGTTGAAAAAGAACATGATTATTTCACCAAAACTAATAAAAACTGTTGAAAAATGATAATGGTTCAAAAACTTAACTACTTAATTTTGGATTTTTTTCATAATAAAAAGACTTTTAATTTAAAAATAAATTTAACATATCTTAGTAGAGAACCTAAAGAATTTGTTTTAAAAATTTAATTTTGCATGTAAAAACAACTGTACCAATTTTCTTTAAATGAATATTGCATAGTAGATTAGTTGAAGTCTTAAAATAAAGGTAGTGGTAAAAATTTCAAATTTTAAAAAATTAAGAAATCATCACTAATCCCCTTTAATTGTTTAGAAAAATCTCTTGATAAATAACTGTTATTATAAATTATTATGTGGCATCATATTAATAATGATGTGACGATAGATGTCAAATTTTTGATTGTTAATATGTAAGACAATAAATTGTATTTTGGTTATGTTAAAAATAATTGTTCAGTTTTATTTACTTTTGTTTCAGTTATACCTATAATAATTAACTAATCATATTTTCAATTAAAGCATTGTTGAATGAGATTGCATCAATTCTATTCAAAATTATATTAGCATAACACATTCTTAATATCTCAAATTTGAGTGAATTGAGCAATAAAATTAAGCTATAATATGTAATAAAACAGAGCTGGGAACACTTATCAAGTTTCAATAACCAACTTTATAGAACATTATTTGAATAAACAAGGTGTATTATTCAATATTTATCATATAAATTACAAAAAGAAACAAGAAATCATCTTAATTATGAACTATTTTTAGTATATAGAATCTGAGTAGAGTGAGAAATGTACTTGTTTTACAATGATGATCTGTGAGCAACTTTTCTACTAGCAATATTATTCCAATTTTCAATAACATTTTTTCTGAAAGAAAATATGACTGGAGTGGTACCCAATAATTAGGAATAAACACGGGAAAACAGAAAAATAGGTACAATATTAAACAAATATTATTAAAGAAAATATATATGCCTGTGCAATTATTTTATCATAATATGACATATATGTATATACACATATTGTCAACAAAGCAACACTGAACACTGCTCAGAATCGTTTTTCATTGCTTACAGATGTACATTAAATATCTCCTCTACTACCTTCCCAACTTCACACCTACAACAGTGGCTGCACCCACATGCAACGTTTTCTAAATTATTATACAATAGTTTATAACTGATTACCTTTAATTGTTGACATTTCATTGGACTCTGTTTAAACTTTGATCCTTTTTTGAAAATATGTTTCTAAAATACAAAATAAAATATAAATAACTAATGTTGAGAGTGGAGAATATGTTCTGAGCTACAGAATTAAAGTTTGTAATTTTTATATTTTTATTATAATAAAAGACATTTGTTATATATTATATTAAACAAACAACCAATATATTATAATTATAAAAATAATATATTAATTATGAGTTATGACTTTATAGTTATGCATATTTACATAACAATTTCATTACAGTGCAATATTTTTGAAATTTACAATAACATTTTTATGCAAATATGAATAAACTATATATATATATAAAAAAAAAAAATGAATTACCTCACAAGAATATTTTTTAAAGATACTAAAGCAATTCACTATAGTATGTTAACATAAAAAAAGACATTATTAATTTTAAGATAAATAATTACAAAAAAAAAAAAATACATACTTTAATAGAATTGGTTATACTTCTATTGGGCGTAATTACAGAATTATGATTGCTAACACGTTTAATAAACATTCTACGTTTTTCTGCAGATTCGGGTAAATTATGCACATGTGCATATAATTCTGCCAATGCTTTCACTGTTGGGTTTTCTTCGTTTTCTTTAGTAGTAGTTTTGCGATCAGTGAATGAAAACACTGTGGTAGCAACTGTACCTTCCTCCTTTTGTTATAATTAAATATTTTTGAATTATATTACATAAATTATATGGTATTAAAGTTGATGTACCTTAATGAGTTGTAAATTTTTTTTAGACCAATAAGCTCTTATATCTACTGCTAAATTTGTTGGGATTTTAAATAAGTCAAATCCTAATTTGATCATATAAATTACAATATGAGATAGATTTTGAGTGATTTGATAAAGTTCTTCAGCAGGTAACTGTAAATTATAAACATTTGCATACAAATAATATTATAACAATAAGGTAAGTAAGTAGGTAGTTCTCAAAGAAATGCAAATAAATGTTTAACATTAAAATATTAGATTTATAAATTTGTCATATAAATTGATAAATAATTTGACAATGAAATTTAAAAACAAACAGGGTTCTAAATTTGATAGGATAGTAAATTCACTACAAAATGTACTTCTATTATCTACTAAAATTTGTTTCATCATAATATATTCAAAATGCATTTATTTCTTTGTTTTTGTCCCCAAAAATGGGAAATTGAAGAAGGAACTTTAAAAATTTAAATGATAACCAATATTTAAAAAAAAGAGCTGATACAGGAGAAGGTGCGGCCATTGTTGTAAGTGAGAAGTTGGGATACATAATTATTTAATCTATTCTTGTAATCAACGATAAACCATGGCTAACAAAAAACAAGCAAATTTTATTTTTAAAAAAATACAAAGAAAATTAGAAAACCAATTAGATTAAATATTTAACAAAAAAGATATCTTGTTTATCTATTGGAGAAATATTTCTAGTGGAAATCGTATTAATGGTATGAAAAAATTAAATGTGAAATTATTGAACATATATACTATTATTTACATAAGAAATAAACCTTATTTCTCTTCCAGACTTGCATACACAGTATTCATGTTAATAAAGAGATGAAGCAGTAGATTAAGCTGTTTTAAGATAGTGCAATTTCAATTTTGTTAATGACCAAGCCATTGTGAAATATTTTTAAAAATTTTTTTTTTATCATTCTCAATAATGTATGAACTATGGCAGACAAATGATTTTATCATGGGGGGAGGGGGATAATGTTATTTTTTATAATTTTTATTTTTATTCATACAATTTTAATTTACAACTATAAGATGTAATAATTTTATGATTAAATTATTAATTCAAATTCTAAGTTTTTGTCTAGTGAATGAAAATATTTTCGTACAATTAGATTTTTAACGGCATTTAAGAAATAACATCAGAGAACTACAACTTTGATTTTTTAAAAGATAATTGCACAATTTAAAACAAGCAATTATCTAAACACAACTTCTATGAAACAATCGGTACCTTATCTTCATAAAAATCTATTATCTGTTGAATTAAAAGGATAATAACTTAAGAATTTCAATTACAATACTTCAACATTTTAAAAAAAAATCACCAGTCTAATAATTTGAATGTACCTAGGTTCTCATTTAAAAAAAACCAAAGTTGTTATCATGACAAAATACTCATTAAATGTTGTGAAAAACTTAATTATTTGAAAATATTTTGTTTTTCACTTCACTTGAAAATTCCAAAAATCAAAATTTTAATTTATGCATCATTTAAACCTTACAAATGGGGTGAGAATAGTTAACAAACACTTTGTATATTATTACATATATTTAAAAAAAAATGATATACCCCTCTCGTTTAACCCCCTTGTCATAATAAAGACATAAATTTAACATTAGCTTTACATAAATGCAACAAATAAGCCATATTTTAAATTCACATTTGTTTAAATTATAATACAATTAACTTGATTTACAAATAATTATTTACATAATTTTAATAAAAATTGGTTAATAAAAAGGAAACTATTAATATTATACGAACCTTTCTTGGGACAATTAAATGACCAGTAAATAATGTTGCTAAATTTTCTGGTGGCATTCTATTTTTTTCTGAATGTTTAGCAGTAAAGTGAAGTAGTTTTATAATATCTTTAAGTAAAACTAAATTATCAAATGGTAACAATAATAATAATAGCTGTAGTGCTTTCAATAAACGTTGACTATTGTTGTTAATTTCCAATTTTTGACAAAATGCTATAAAAATAATAAAAAATTCAAATGTGTAATATTTTTTATGTTTTAAATTGAAATACCTGATATTTGACAATATGCTGGGTAAAATGCTTCAGTCATTATTGGTTCAGATTGTTCGGCTAAAAATGATTTTAAGACAGTTGCACAATCATGCACGGTAAACTGACTATTGTACAAATCTAATGTTTGACCTTGGTTTAAAAGTGCTTTTAGCTCTTGTTGTCTAGTAATTGAACCATTTCGACGAAATATTCCTTCTTGAATGACATCTAAAATTATATACAAGAATTCTTAATGTTTTGTTTTTTAATTTAACATATACATATATATTTATTAGTTTCATATTAAGTATATTACATTTTGCTAAAAACCCAAAATAAAATTTACATACTCTCTTCTTGAGACAAAAAATCAATAAGTTGATAAACTTGACAAATGCCTTCTTGAGTAATCGGTGCTCCATCCATAACACCTTTCACGGAGCATTTTTCTTTTTTCATAAAAGACCATTTAATAGGTTTGATTTTAGATTTTTCTTCAATTGAACAGTCCCCTCTAAAAATGTATGGGTTTTATGTAACAATGCCAATCATTATCAAAAATACAAATAGTCGTAAAATTATCATTATTATTGTAAACTCACTCTTTAATGTTAGATTCAAGAATAAATGATAAATGCATTCGAACTAATGTATAAAATTGATCAGAATCTTCAGTTCTTAATTTATTAGCCAATTTCCAATCTTCATTCATGTCCAACAATTCCATTGCCATTTTTGTATGTCAATAGATTTAAAATAGTATTTAAGTAAAAATTAAATTTGCAAACACCATTTTATACAAGCATTAAGATAGGTAAAACCTATGTTATTAACACAAACTAATATCATTAAAATTCAAAAATTCAAAAAATTACAATGGCTACGAAGAATTACAAACATTTTATAGAATTTGTTTTATCGATAAACATAATTAAGTTTAAAATAATATAATGAATTATTTTAAAATAGGCACAAAATAGTAATTAAAATACATAAAAAACAAAGGCTACAAAATTGTATTGTAATAGGTACTAGAACATATTGCTTATTCACATTAACGGTTTTTGTTATTTCCCGAATATTACAAACAGAAGTTAAGAACGGATGTTACATGATAATAATATGATGTTGCCAAAATCAATTATTCACCCCAGCAGTTTGGCCACACTGCCATGCATATTTGATTATTTTATTTATTATAATTATCATTATTCATTATTATTATTATTATTATTGTTTTTTTTTTTTCATTAAAGTTTTATTTATTATTTTTATTTTTTAATATTTCTTGTCACTGGTCGCGACTGGCGACCCGCTGTCCTGCCTGGCTGCCTCTCGTGCAAATTCCCTATACAGTATACATACTGTTCGTGCCGCTCGTCCGGTCAACGAGATGTCCGGTGCTGTCCGTAACACGTTTCCGGTCGCAAGTCTTCCGGCGGGTCCCGCATGAAATCGCCCGCGAGTCTCCGTCCCCCGTAAATTTTTTCCCTTGTGCGTAACTCCGTCAATTCTTGTTTCGTCCCGGCTGAGTCTGAGAATCCTTCCCCGGGCCATAGTGAACGGTGGAATATACTAAATATATTATTAGAGTTAGTGCCGTCGCCCATCGGTAGTGTGACGCGCTATCGTGTATATGTATATGTGCGTGTGTGTGTGTGTGAGTGTGCGCGTGTTGGTTAATAACTATAATACATCTGGGAGGAAAAAGTAAACGGGGCATAAAAATAAACAAAAATTTCCAATAAAACATGGTCAAGGACGTCCAGTACTAAAGAGACCCATCCTACGAAAAGCCGCGTTCACCTTGTTGACGTCATTTTTCACAGGCATCAGGCGTGGTAAGAGACGTTTTAGTGATTTTTATTTTTAAATATCGATGATTTCTACCGCGTCGTTCCGTCGAGTGGCAATAATCAATCGACTACAACACTCGTAATAATCAAATAACAATTTTCGCGTATTCAATAGACAATAAAATAACTAATAATCGTTTGAAAATTATGTTATCTATAACTACTGCCCATAAATAGGTGCGATAAACCACTCGGGTACATACATCGTCATCGTTAAAATAATAATAATATACCTAGTAATAATAATAATATTAATTACGACCAATGTAATTGTAAGAGATAAGAATATTTGTGTCATTCATGTAGTGGTGTGTGTTGTATTCTCGTTGTGTTTGTGTTGAATGAGCTGACCATTGATTGTCTGCATTGCAGTATTTTAAATAAAAAATGTAATTGTTACTCGATACTTGTATTTCAGGTGAGAAATTCATAGTTCTTTTTATTAATATTTTATTGAATAATATTAAGTAGGTACATTATTAGATAATATGTAAAACTGCATGCAATTACTGGTATGAACAATTTCTGTTTGTTTATTATTACAACTTTTTTAGTTCGTAACATTGCAAGGTAAAATAGTTATTAGTCTTTAGGTAGGTAGGTAAACTTTTTAAATTTTTTGATACTTTTATTTAGGCATTATTAGTGCAATGGTGAATAATAATTATTGTATTTCCTCTGACTCATATTAAATTATTACGAATTATGATGAGTAAAGTACCTAATGATAATATTATTATTGTTAGATAAATATTTTACATTACGCACCTATAGGTATGCTGTGTATAGTTGTTTAGTACAAAATTTATACACCTAAAAATAATATTAAATAGCTTCATACATTTCATTAAAAATATTAACTTAACATTAGTGTATTTCTTATAAATTGTAATTACCTAGTTATTAAGTATGTTAAAATAATGTTAAATAATTTATTTACTTTACTTTTGTTATTTTGAGAAAGTTCAATAGTATTTTATTTATATTTACTTAACAAAATTGATTGTTTAATTGTATTTAGAATCAATGTACTAAATGATAGAGACCTAGTTCCTATACTCATGTCTTTGTTTTTTCTTCTCCCTCACCCCTTTTTCCAGTTATTTGAAAATGACCATGTAAATCACACATTACTACTTGACTCAGTTTCCCAAATCATCTATACATCCCAGCAGTTCAAAGATGACTTAATCATACCAACCCATATCCTGGTATATTTTTGTTCTTTGTCTTTCCCTTATTCTTTGCACATTCATTCATAAAAATATTCATACAACTTCTGACTTTTCTCGTGCTTATTTCTTTTTTTATATTATTATTCCAATTTTAAAATCCTGTTATTTTATTTTATCAATAGTAGACAATATATTCATAACTTTAATTATTAATAAAATAATTTACAACTATATTATTTAACATGTTATAAACATAATATGTTGTGTTGAACATTGATAATTTGTTATTAAATATTTATTCAGCCATTAATAATAATATTTGTAGGTAATTAAATAACCTTTTTAATAAGTAGCGTTATAAGTACAGCTGAGTCAATTATCAACAAATATTTAAAATGATTTAGGTATAAAAAACATTTTGGAAAAATATAACCAACTCGCATCATAAACACATGAAATATCTAATAGTAATAGGTATTGTAATATTATAGGTACTTAAGTTTCCAATAATAGTATTTAACATTTTATATTTTTAATGATAGGTACCACATGATAATAATAGCCATTCATTAATAACAACTTTTAATTTAGATAGGCTAGATATCTTTTTTTTTTTAATTTTCAAGTTAGCCTATCTTATTTTTTTTTTTAAATTATAATAAGAATAGAAGGATAAAAAATATTGGTTTATGTCCATTTTGTCAAATCTTGATTCAAATACTGGAAAAAAACAACAATTTTAAAATTTTAAATATAATAACTGATTATTATAAAAAAATGATTTCTTACTATAGTTTATGTTATAATACTTCGAAATTTAAGTGAATTTTGACAGACTAAATTTGGTTCGCTCAAATAATAGTATGAAAGTATGAAAAGGTCTACATAGGTAATTTCCAGTACCTAATAAAAATTTATTTTACTCTATATTATACCACTAGACCACTAGTTATATTTTATTTAATATTTAAAAATATACCTACCATATAAAGATGAAGGATGAAAGAATATGAGGATATATTGCAGCCACTTATTACTTTGAAAAGTTTTAATTTTCATGAAAAAAATATTTTTCACATAATTTTTTTATATTTCAATATTTTTAAAAATTATATTAAATAAACATTTTTTTAAATTTTCATGATAAATTAATATATTTAAAATTATTGGTTTTTTTGCCTTAGTATTTTTTACCCATGACCTCTGATTTACTGGTTAAATAAATAAGGTTTATTAGCCACTTATCACCTTCACAATTCGCTGACCGGTTATCAAAAACTATCGTGGCAATAATTATGATTATGATAAGAACAACAATAATGTAAAATTCAAAATAATATTTTTGACTTTAACAATTTAAATTTAAAAAAATAAAAATAAAAAAAAATCTTACTGTGTGAAAATTAAACAGAAAGAATGATAGCCTGCAGTTGGAGTCATCTGATATCAGTTCACAATTGTATTTATATCACTTATCCAAGGGTCCGCCCTCTTCAAACTTTTCTTGCCAAACTACTAGAAAAAAGTGTCATTAAATTGATTGAACAATTAATGTTGACCCTTTCTTGAGATTTGTTTCCAGCTAAAACCTATGTATTGGACAAAAAATCTGGTCTTGATTAATATTAAAAAATTATTGTACTAAAGTATATGAATAATACTATCATTTACTCTTTATGAAGATTGATGAGAATTTTCAATTTGAACCAACTTTTGGTTTATTTATTTATTATGTATGTTTTAGTTACTTGTTTTATCCGGTGTTGTGTACTTTTGTATTTCTATTATCTGTGCCCTTTATTATTTTAAGTCTTCTTTAAATAATAATGTTCGTTGTTAAGTTAGGTTAGGTTAGTCTATCTACTAAATTAGTTTTAAATAGTATGCAATCAACCCAGAAATAGTATTGAATTACCGTATTTATTTATATTAGTATTTATTTTTATTATCAATAGTAAAATTAATGAATTTATTATTTATTATACTAATTCATTACATTACTATTTTAATTTCCTTAAATGGTAAATAAACTTTATGTTAAACTTGAACTAAAAATGTTATTTTAATATTTGTAAGGAAATTGTCAAATATTGTATCCATCAATTGATGAAGTTACCATTAATATTCTTTTTTTCAACTGCCTTTAAAGTAAATATGTATATTTATAATTCATACATCCTTATTTTTACAGGTTACTCAAAATTTGTTGTGTATCATTTTAATAATGGAGCATTTAAAAACTGTTTGGTCATGTGTTCTATACGAGTACATCATCCTTGATATAGAAGTATAGAACTTGTTTAAAGGCATTAATAAAATGTCGTTTATTAAAGGCCTCAAAAAAGTGCTTCACTTAGGGAATAATGAAGCAAAAAATAAAAAAATATTTAATAACATCCATATGGATTGTGATGTTGATGATTTTTGGGAAATGATTGGTGAACTTGGAGATGGAGCTTTTGGTAAAGTTTATAAGGTAATGAAATAAGGTATAAGTATTTATGTATAAGGGAAAATAGTATGTTTATTTAAAATTGTATTAGATGAAAATTATTAAGTTATTTTTAATTATAATTCTTACATAATTTTTTATTTTAATGTTAAATAATTATAATGTTAATTCTAACATAACAAATTGGTTTTTTTTTCTTATATAAAAATGTTTATTTAGGCTCAGCATCGAGAAACTGGACAGTTGGCTGCTGCTAAAATGTGTATTTTAGAGGGTGAAGATGATTTAGCTGATTTTATGATTGAAATTGATATTTTAGCTGAATGTAAACACCCAAATATAGTCCAATTACATGAAGCATTTTTTGTTAATTCCAAACTTTGGGTAAATTATTATCAAATAACAATTATTATTTTTTTTGATTTTCTTAACTTGTATACATTTTTATAGATGCTAATTGAGTATTGTGATGGAGGGGCTTTAGATTCAATCATGGTTGAGCTGGATCGAGCATTAATTGAGGAACAAATAGCCTATGTTTGCAAGTATATGTGTGAAGGATTATCATTTCTTCATAAATGTAAAGTTATTCATCGAGATCTTAAAGCTGGAAATGTACTTTTAACAACTAGTGCTGGTGTTAAAATTGGTTAGTTTTCTAAAATACAATGAAAACAAACAAAATATTTTAATTTTTTTAAATTTATTTTGCAGCTGATTTTGGAGTTTCTGCTAAAAATAAACAAACCCTACAAAAACATGATACTTTTATTGGTACACCATATTGGATGGCTCCGGAAGTAGTTTTGTGTGAAACATTTCGTGATAACCCTTATGATTTTAAAGTAGATATTTGGTCTTTAGGCATAACCCTTATAGAATTAGCACAAATGGAACCTCCTAATCATGAAATGTCTCCAATGCGTGTGCTGCTTAAAATACAAAAATCTGATCCTCCTAAATTAGAACAACCATCTAAATGGTCTAAGCATTTTAATGACTTCATAACACAAGCACTTATTAAAGATCCAGCTCAAAGGCCAACAGCAGACGATCTCCTTAAAGTTAGTTATTTTTCATTTATTAATTTGTGATCACCATAAACTTTCGTTGTATGCTATCTATACTGAAAACGTATCTAACACACCCACAACTCTATCTCTTTTGGGAAGGGGTTATGTCTGAAAACTTTTTATTTTAAAGCATTTGACTTGATTCTTTTAACTTGTGAACAAAAAAAAAAAAAATAAACTGAATGGATTAGATTTAATGGTGTATAGACTATTATTGGTTGGTAAAATATTTATATATATATATGTATATATCAATGTTGTAAAGGCTGGTTTAAAAGATAAACTAGTTACATCTGAAATCTGGTTTGACCTGTAACATATACATAATTATACCTACAATATAAGAGCACACCATCAATGTCCGATCCAAAATTTATCGCCGAAGACATAAATAACACATCGACTTTCATAAATATATAGCATATGACGAGAGTTCCTAATTTCCGAATATATGATCCTATTATATGTATGTATAATTATATATCATATATTAGGTTGGCCGACCTTTGATAATTGGGATAAAAACAGGAGAAGAAGGGTGGTCTAATAAACTAACCTGAGAAAGTCAAAACGTGCACTCCTTCCCATTTTTCTAGATGATAAGAAAAAATAGTTTTGTGAAAATTTGGCCATGATAACTTACTCCTTTCTCATGGCAAAAAAAGGTTAAATATTAACACAAGGTGGTTGTAAATTTTTTAAATTAAAAATTAAGCATAGTTTTTGATTCAATGTAAATTTTACTCAATACTTACAAAGTTATAACTTTATTTAGGTAATTTAATTTAATCTTTAACCTAATTTTTTTAAAATAAAATTAAAAAGAATTAATTTTTCATACATTCAAATATTTTTTATATGAAATAATGGAATAGATAAAATTATTTTTCTACAATTAATAGTTTTAAATTTTTTGCGTAAATGTTGTAGTTTTTAAAATAATTGAAAAAACTGAAAAACCATTGCCTACCTCCTTTTGCTACAATTTTTAGTACTTTTTGGCATGGCAATAAGTGAATTAATGAATCCAAATTCTTAGCAAAATTATTATTGTTAAATAAAAAAAAGGCCGTATTCATTTTTAATTTGTCCATAAATCTGCCTCATCAGATTTTAATTATAAAAGTACAGACCATTTGTACAATTTACATTAACGTTACATTACATTACATTAACATTTAATGGTCATTGACTCAACTCAAGTTATTATTAATAAACATAACTAATAAACTAATACAAACAGTTAAAAATTATGTCTTTACAATGTAAAATAATACACATTATGCATAAATAAATAAAATTTAAATTAGTTATGCATTTTTAATATTTTAAGAATTAATCATAGTATGCTAAATTGCTACTTTTGCTGAAGTACTTGAATTAAGGTTTTTTTTCTCAACTTTTGTAACTTGGGCAGTTGAAGGTTTTTAAGTTTTGATATAATTTTTTAATAGGATTCGTTTTGTAGTATCTCCTTTTTCAAGAGCCGATTGTGATTGTTTTGATTTTGCTTTTACCATATGGTAAAACCATTAGATAACATTAAATCAGGTTATTAGTTTTATCCATTCAAGACTACAAAACAAAAATATATATGATTATTTGAGCATTATAAAGGATATTTGTATAAAATACAGAACATTTAGGTTTTTTTTTACCCAGGATATTAAGATAAAATATAGAAAGATTCTTTAAAATACAGGACATTTTAACACTGGCCTGTATAAATTTGATCCATGTTAATATATATATTTATACAAATATTTAATTTCAAATTTTATTTTCAGCATCCATTTGTTAATGGAAGTATAGATTCAAAGCCAATAAGAGATTTATTACTCGAGTATAAGGCAGAGGTTGTTGAAGAAGAAGTTGTAGATGAAGAATCAGAGGTAAACAATTATTTATTAATATATTTAGCTGAACGATCAAGCACTATCATCTAATTTATTTACTATACAATTGTGTATATACATTTCCTTAAATTGGATTTCCTGTGTACACATTAATCTAAATGTACACTGACACATTATTCACATTTATTTCCATGCTTACTTACGTAGTCTACACGTGATAGGAAGTACAGAAAATACAGAGACCAATATCAAAGAGTTGGTGGTGGTAAGTTATTCTAATCCCTGTGTGCACATTCCACTTATATTTTTGTTTTAGCATGTTCAATATGTAAAACATAATTTTCTTGTACAAAATATTAATGTAGTAATACAAACAGGGCCGTCCTAAAGAATAATATTTTCAGCGTGTTAAATGGTGGTAAAATTATAAAGCGTTGATTGAGAAGCCCTTAATTATTGCAAGTATCTTTTTTTTTTTTTGTATTTATAAGAGTGCAGTGCATACCAACCATGGTTAAAGCACTGGACTCAAGGAAAGGTCCCATTTGCCTGCCTTAGGGATGGCTCTGTTCTGAATATTAGTAATAGAAGATGTCAATATTAATTTTGATAATCTATTTTTATTTAACTTTTTGCTTTATAGGAATCGCCTCAATCTACTCAGTTACCTCCCCTGGACTTGGATGCAGTCGAAGATGACACTGTATCTCTAAAGAGTGAACCTGAAACTAAAGGTAAACATTTAAAAGGGATATGCTCATAACAAAACTAAATCTCACACTTTAGTAAAGTGTATTAAATATAATACTTAAGATGCTCATTATCTTGGACTTTTCATAAACATTTTTTTTTTTTAATATTTTAGAAAAACAACTAAAGTATTACATCTTACATCTTTAAGTTTTGTCACCCTTTTGTTTCAAATAGCAACTTATATTACAAATTCCATAAATAGATGTATTATTTTAAATACATTTTGATGTTAAAAATTTTTAAATTTTTGTTTAACCTTTGTAGAGATATCTCTACTTTTAATTTTGTCATTTTGTGGGTAGGAAGAAATTAGTGAAACACTATTCATACTCTGCATGCTACGTCACCACATAAATGATGCTTAACTACTGCTATTTTCTTACCTACTAAATGACAAACTTAAATATAATACAAGTTGACTATAATGGATTGACAATAATTAAAAATGCCAACTCCAAAATTTCACTATTTTTGCGATTTTCAGTATAGGTTGCCATTAGAAAATTAAAATGCGGTAATTGAGGGTTTCATTCTTGAATTTAAGGTAATTTGTAACTTTAAAGCTGCTTATTTCTTAAATTTTTTCAAAAAAAATTCAGAAGAAAGTTAATGAATTTTAAGATAATGTGTATCTTATGTTATATTGATTACACTGTACAGAGATAATAATTGTGTATTTATTTTAATTTTTGAAATATACAATTTTATCAACTTAATATATTTATGTTTAAGTAGATTTAGCTGAAGAAAAACCAGAAACACCAAAAAAACGTGAGATGGATGAAGAAACCTTAGAAAATAAAAAAATCAAAACGGATGAAAAACCAGAAGTTAGTGAATCCGAACCTGTTTTATCTTCAAAAGAACTTTTATCTAAGAAAAATGTATGTTATCTAATATTTTATCTGAATTAAAATATATTATAGCTAACTCACAATATAACAAATGAAACTCATTCCCTTGAAAATCTCTTGATTTTTTCGAAAAATTAATATATTTTAGTCTCCTTGATATAACAAACATTTTTAGCTAAAGTTGCGATGCAACAAATTTTTACAATTTTGGAACTTGATCTTACAAATATTTAATTTTTAGTAAGATTTGATTTACATCTGTAGTGTAAAACGACTCAACGAAAAATAATTAGCTTCCTATTATGTCCTTTTTTTAGCATTCATATCATAGTACATTATCGCTATTAGTATGATAAGATAAAATGTCAATAAAAATGTATTATGGGTCTAAGAAAAAGTGTACAGAAATATGCTTTGCTATACTGTTATATGTGTGTAGTAATATGTCATTACATATATAATTATTACTACTGACTTATTTATTTTATACATATGTACCTAATATATACTTTGTTGGTTTATGCTTTTGGTACAACAAACTTTTGGTATTTCAAACTAATTTCTCGGTCTCTTGAAATTTGTTATATTGAGAGTTAATTGTACTTTCTTTGTAATAATTATTTCTTTAATAGAAGGGTAATATTTTAGATAGATAGCAATCCTTTTTCATTCATCAGAATAGTTTATTAAATTTTTGTTTGCATCTTCATTCCACTTAATAAATAATAGATGAGGAATTGAAATTTTTGATCAAATTTTTGCTCATGTAATATACAATAAATTTGGTTTACTTTTATTTATTGCAGCAATTTCTTATGTATATATGTATTACTATGTATAATTATATAAATTGTTTGCTATTCTTTATTTTTGTACTTTTAATTATTAGTTATAACTTAAGGCATTTAATAAAATGTATTTTTGAACTTTATAGGTAGTTAAGAAACATTCTGAACACAAAGGTCCAGCACCTCTACCACCTTCAGTTATTAAATCAGTTTTAAATGAAGAGCCTCCAAATTGTCCGTTAATATTGAAAGTCCAGGAAAACCAAGAAAAAGAAACACAATTAGTAACTGATCCCATAGAACTTGAAATATCAATATCAAAGGAAAATAAATATTCAGAGATTAATGATTCTATTAACAATAATTCTGAAACAGAAAAACAGTCCTTTGATATTAACGATGAGAACAATTCTGTAGTTATTCAATCTTTGCAGTTACGCAAACATGATGTGCTTCCTAATCCTAGACCTTTATCAGTAGCTGCTAGTATTAATGGCCCCATTGAAAATTCAATAGACGATTCTCAAATGAAAACTAGGAGAAGAAGTTCATCTGCTTCTAATCGTAATCAAAGAAGACCTTCTCCTCCTTCATTAGATAAAGTTTTACAAATGAATCAGAATATTGAAAAAAATAAAGGAAAAATGCCTACTGCTGTTATAAATGAACTAACTGGAAGACTTCAAAACAATCAAGATGATGAGACTGATCAAATAGAAAATAAAGATAATAGTAAGAATTGTTATTAAATTACATTATTATGTTATATTAAATTTTAATAAAATTTAAAGTAATTTCTTAATTTAGTATAATACATTTCTTAATAAGAATATTGTTTAATAGTTGAACAAAATGAAAATTTAATTAATGGAGGAACTTTGGTAAGAGTAGGATCTTTGACTGCAATTGATTCAAAAGTTACTGTTGTTACTACAACACATCCACCTGTTCTTCAAACACATCCACCAGGACTTCATACTCAAGTGATAATAGTTGCTGATACCAACACGAAATCACAGGTATATAGTATAAGTTTAAATAATTATATTATAGTTTTAAGACTATTGATATACATTTGTTTAAGATTGAAGCAAAAGATGAGGTTGTTGTGATAAATTCATCACATGCTGATGAGGAAGAACTAGATGCCAGCCATGTATCTGTTATTACTGTAGGTGATGAATCTTCTGTTAAAGAAATAGGTTCATGGAACAATATAGAAGACACTGAAAGTGCTAAACTTGTACGTGTACCTGTGAATACAGCATCAGAATCAAATAAAATGAAGATGAATGGACGTGCTACTGTGGTCAAACCAAACGACCCTACAGAAGTATATATTGTCGTTAACAATTCGACAAATGTACATAAATTGGTGATTTTACAAATATTTACATATGTCACATATGAAAATAGTTATAATGTATTTTTTTTTTTCTAGTCTAAACATTCATCTGATGGAATTATAGTTAATAATAAACATCATGTTTCTCCAACACGATCCACCTCTCATTCACATTCAGATAGTGGATCAGCATATAGTAGTGGTGGTCAACGAACTCCACCATCAGCTGCTAGTACACGTACATTTGATAGATCAGATGCCGAAAGTGTTTCAACAACAATTAGTCATGATAGTCGTAGTAGTAATAAAGAAAATAATTTGCCTCCTAGAGAATATGAAGATGAAATTGTTGTTATACGTAAAAAACCAGAATATAGCAGAGTAAGAAAATATATTCACTTAAAATTCAACAAAGTTGTAATTTAAATTTATTTAATTCATATATATATATATATGTTACGAATTCCCATTATATATGTATATAAATAAATAAGGTATGTGTCGGGAATAATAAGTAATACAAATATACATTGTATGATATTAGGAAGTACTGCTATTTTTAAATTTAAAATCAATCATATAATTAATTAAGTATACAAATCTCACAAATAGGTTTAGAGACAAAAGAAATTTAACACTTAGTTCATTATAAGTTGTACTCACCTAGTTGTAAAAAAAGGTTAAGAGCAACAATTTGTTTATGCTTTTTACAATTGGAATTTTAATGGAAATCTTCAAAATGACCATGTTTAACCTAAATTTGTTTCAGAATCATTTATCATTGTGCATACAGATTTAAATTTAAATATCGATCTTCTTAACTTAATTCCTACAGTAGTGGCATACCCTTCAGCACTATTGACTATGACTAACTGAAAATTATTTTTTTAAATTTAAGGAAAAACGTTTGGAAAAAAAACATTTAGGGTATCATAAAATATAAATTTAAAAAGGATAAAATACTCACTCTTATTGTTTTTTTTAAAATATATATATGTGTATAGAAATAGCTTCCTAAAATATAATAGTTTATATTTGATTGTTTTTTTTTTAACATTTTTAGGAAATGAAAAGAACTAGTCGAAACATAAGCAAAGAAGAGCTAGAAATAAGAAATATGAAAAAAAAAACTAGAAAGCGAACAAGAAAATTTGAAGTAGATGGTGTAGTTGTGACTACAACAACCAGTAAAGTAATATATGGTGATGAAGATTCCAGTCATGGCTACAATGATCAGATATTTAGAAAACAAGAACTTAGAGAACTTAAAATGTTACAAAAACAAGAACAGAAACAGTTTCAAGATTTATCATTTAAGGCCACTTTATCTAAAGAACAACAAGATAAAAAGTTTGAGCAAGAAAGAATGACATTAATTAAACAGTATGAAGCAGATTTAGATGCAATGGTTAAGCAACAACGGCAAGCTGTTGAACGAGCTGAGACTCAGCAGGAAGCTGATTTAAGAATGACATCAAAAAAAATTCGTTTAGAACAAGTAAATAATTTAATTATAAAAAGTTTTCTTTGTGTGATTTATTTTTATTATTTATAGGAGCGTGAATTAAAAGAATTTAGGGAAGGATTAAAACAAGAATTAAGGTTATTAAAACAGGAAATTGACCTAAAGCCTAAAGAAAGGCGGAAAAACTTGTTTAAAGATAAAAAAGAGAAGTTAGAGACTGAACACGAGGAGAGAGAAAAATTATTCCTTGAGAAACTAAATGAAAATCATGAAAGTTCCTTGAGTAGACTGAGTGATGCTCATCAGGAGAAAATTGCACTTATGGAACGACAATATTTACAACAGAAACAACAGGTAAAAAAGTGTTAAGAATTCTAGGTTTTTTTATTATAGATATTTAACAATTAGAATTAAAAATTGAACTATTTTTTCAATTTTTTAGACATTAATCAAATTATAATCTTAAAACAATTTGTTAATTGTAATGGTATAAAATAAATCTTTTTTTATTGATCTCTATGTAAACCCAGATTACACATTTTTTAGTTAATGCGAGCTAGAGAAGCTGCTCTTTGGGAAATGGAAGAACGACAAATTCATGAAAAACAGCAATTGGCCAAAAGACAGCTTAAAGATGGTTTTTTTTTGCAGAGACATCAAGTAAAATTAAAAATTAATGTTATTTTCAATTGTTTGTTAAATGTGTAAACATATTAAATTATAGATGTTAATAAGACATGAAAAAGAGTTAGAACAAATGAAACGTATGAATATACGTAAAGATGAAGAAATGCAAAAACGTCAAGGAGTTGAAAAACGATCATTACCTAAACGCATTCGTTCTGAAATGAAAGCCCGTGAAATGATGTTTCGTGAATCTGTTCGAATAAGTATGGCGACCAATCCAAATCCAGATCCAGAATATGAACGTAATCGACTTAAGAAATTCCAAGAAAATGAAAAGAAAAGATATCGTGCTGAGACACTTGCTTTTGAAATGAAACAGCAGCGACAACTTGAAGAGTTAAGAATTGCAAATGATACCACTATAAGGGAGCTCGAGCAGCTTCAAAATGAAAAACGTACTGCTATCATTTATTTGTTACATTTTCAAATATTAGTTGAAATAACATGAGTCTTTAATTTTAGGTAAAATGTTAATGGAGCATGAAACAACTAAACTAAAAGAGCAAGAAGAGTTATATGCTCGTGAGTTAAGGGAATGGAAAGCTCACTTAAAACCTAGGAAACAGGTAATTTTTGAATGTATTATATTATGTTTTTTATAACAATTTTATTTGAGTTTGACTTATCTTATCTAATTAGTTATTTGCTACTGTAGTTATTAGTAGTTAATTTAAATTTCAAAAGTTCTAAATATAATACGTGGAATTTGATTGAATAGTTGTTAACACTTGTACATAATATGTATTAAATAATTAATTTCTAACCCATTGTAGAAAAAGGGTAGTGTGATGTCTACATTTAAACATCCACCAATAGTTTATATTTTTTGTCAGAACCTTGAGATGGAGTTGGCGAGGCAAGCTAAAGGGAATTCGTGGAACAGTCGCTATTCATTGCCTCCGTCTCCTGGAAACACATTGCTCAGACGCGAATATTCGTTTTCATCACTTGCTTCTTCTCCTAGATTATCCAGTACTTCTTTTCGTTCTCCTGGCTCTGGATTTCTCCCTAGGCGATGTGCCAATAATTATCCTAATCATTCAAACCAATCCACAATGTAATATTTTTGTATACTGAATGAACTAAACGGTGGCATTTGAACAAAAGTTTAGTACTATTCCAAATGGTTTACATGTCACCATTTGGTTATTAGATAGTGTATTCCGGTTCCTAATTTGGTTTATTAATTAAGTAATTTTTTTATTAAAATTCAATTTTATCAAACAATGTAATTGTTTTAATAAATACCAGTTCACAAATCACATATTTAATCTTTTGGTAAAAATTTTTTTGCGAATTACGTATTTTTCGCATATTTAGAATAGCATATTAAAATTTAATAATTGTATGACAACTAAATATGCGTCATATCTATATTTAAATTAAAGTAACAAAAATATACTACCTACATTTTATTTTAAATATATTTATAATTTTTATCAATGTTTATTGTTTTTATCTTGAATAATTAATTTTTAACATTATATTTTGTAAATATATATTATTTATATCTTATTTAATATTCAATTCATATTATATCAGATAATTTGCCAGTTGTTACTTAAAAATTTAAAAAAAAACTGCCCTGTAGTATTTAAAACATTTGAGTTATTAATTATTGTTTTTTAGTTCACTATAGTTATAAATTATTCAGTGCTTAAAGTCTAGTAAAACTTATATATTATTTTTCATGTTTGTTACTTAAATATTTAGATATTTTTAACTTTTTAAGTGTATCATACAATAATAATGTTACCACCAAAAGTTTGGATTTTAAACTAGATCTAAAATGTGCCATGAAATACGCTATTTCAATTTTTGTCAATTATTATTTTACCTTAAAGTTGCAACTGGTAAATTATGAAAGTATACTGTATTAAAAGTAGAAAATAATTATTATCTTATAAGCATGACAAGGAACAAAACTTTGCTTAAAATTCAAAATACACACCTTATACATTATAAACACATTATTGCATTTATTTTTTTTAATATTTTCCTGCACTTTGTTTATATGCTTATTTGAATGGTTAATGTAGTAATTTTCAAGCTTCGTAATATATATATATATATATATTTTTTTGTATTATATAATTTTATAATTTATTTTTAGACAAAAAACTAACATAATTACTAAATATTAAGGTTTATGATATTTTGTATCTATCTAAATTACAAAATTATTAAAACCCATGTAAATAACACCATCAATTTAATGAAATCACGCTTAATTTATTTATTATTTTGCTTCCTTTTGTCCTTGCTTATTCCTGAGTGCTGCTACAATAAATACCTTATGTAAGTAACACTGTATATTAATTTTTTGAAATCTATTTTAAATTAATACATATATTATTATCAATGAACTATAAGTTATTCAATTTTATTCACATTTAGCATATCATTTTCAATTCAATATAATTTGATGTTAAATTTCTTAATTTATGTACCTGTTCCAACTTAACCTAACCTAACCAAAGAGATTTAGCGTTGAATAATATAAAATATTAAAATATGTTTTACAGAAACTAGAAGAGCAGTTTGCTATACAGTTAGAAGAACAAGAAGCTATATTTGGGCCTCCAACTAATATGTTGCCAATAAATATTAGCCCGCCTTCTAACCACCATTCATATCATCACAGAAGCTCTACCCGGAGTAGTTTATCTTCTATGTCAGCTGATTGACTTTTCTGTACATATTATATTACATTATCATATATTTATTTTTTGTTGATTTTTTTTAGCCATATGTGCCAACATTGCCCCCATCCCTTGTTGTCTTAATTCAATGTATATTTCATTATTATTATTTTTCTTAAAAATATTAAGTTTTGTATACGTGAAATGAAAAAATATATATAAACTTTTTTAAATATATAGTAAATAATATGTATGATATTATATTTATGAATTGTTTTTATTATTATTATTAAAATAGTTATTAATTTGCAAATGAACAATTCTAAAATGTTGTTCCTTGTAGAAAAATAAATTTTACATTTAATTTATTAAAATTGATAGCAAAAAAAAACTAAATTCAACAGATTATTCTTTTATATATTCAAATTAACCACATTAATCATAATGAATACAATATTTTTGTATGTACAAAATGTATATAAAAAAAAAAATACATTTCAGGATGATTTCGTATTTTTGTAGAAATACAAAATTATTAACTTAGACAAGTTTTTTAGCTTCAAAGAAACTTTTCAAATGCCGTATTTGCCAAAAACCCATAATCAACAAAATGAATAGCTGTGAAAGGGACCAATAGAAAACTCGTTGATGAGTACTTTCACTTGTTTGACGGAATCTCTCTTCGCGATACTGTAAATAAAAAAAAACTTAATTTACTAAATTATAAACAAAACTATTATTTGAGGTGATAAAATTTGTTAGCAAACATCATGCAATGTTTTTGCTGTTCATTTCTTAATCTGTACCATTATGAACAATTCACAGAAATCTAAGTTGAAAATATGAAGACTAAATCAGTTAAGTTAATAAAACTATAACTCTGAATACAATTTGGTCTTAACGAAAATTAACGAAAATGTAAACACTTATGACTCAGGATTTAATATCATCAATACTAAACTATCCAACCTTGAATCTTGTTTAAGCGATCTAAAGATTTCCATGGGTATAGTATCCTCCAATCTTTCTAAAGTCAAACAAGATAATGAGTTCAGAGATTCAGTTTTAACGCATAAAATTACTCAGCTGGAACTTTTCCGGACGCTGATTTTGTTAAAGAATCTCATGACAGATTAGCTAAAGAAAAAAACCCAATTGTTTTTAACGTGTCCGTTTTTATTTCTAAAGATTTTTCTTTAACTACTAGTTAATGAGATTTTTCAGGAATTACCTGGCCCAATTTCAGTGCCAAATGCTTAAACACCTGGGTAAACTAGGTAATTACTCATGTCTAATTCTAATTCAATTTAACTTCTCATCTGAGTTTTATTCTATTCTGCGTGTCAAATCTAAAATTCGTAATAGCTCTCACTGGAAAGATGTGTCCTTAATTCACTTGAATTACAATCCACTTTGCCTAGTACTCATAAAATAATAATGCGAGTTTTTAATTTGCCCTTAGTAATATTTACATCTGATAGTAATTCTTCTGAGGATGACTTTTTACAATACAATCTAACAAAAAATCATGTAAACTCGCAGTTAGCTTTAATTTTATCTAATATCTACAATACTTTAGTATCAAGGTGCCCCGATAAACTAGTACCCATAGATTTCTACCACTCAGTTCTTGATATTAGTTGTGAATATGGAACTTCAACAGATTGTTCACGTGATCAGTTATACACATAATTTTAAGAAGACAGAGTTTAATTTAATCATTAAGATCTTATGTAAAAGTGACTGGTCTAATTTGTATAATTTCCACTGCATTGATTTTGCCCAAAGAGTTTTATCACATTGTATCGGGTGTTATCAATAGATATGTACCTAAATATTCTTCAAATAAACAAGTATATCCTATCTAGTTTTTAACTAATCTATGTAGAACTCTTAAAAATAAATCAGCCACTCATAAAAAATACAAAGCCTCCAATTTTCATTCTGACAATGTGATTTTCTCCAACTATCGGAAATAGCGTAAACTACAAATTAAAAAATGTTACTCAGCTAACCTTATTCATACCCAAAAATCACTTATTAGCAATCCTAAAAATGTCTGGAATTTTGTTAATAAATCTCAAAAAAAATTGATATCCCAGTTTCTGTCCACCTTTCAGATAAAATTTCTAATAACCAATCTGAAGTTGCTAACATTTTGTAAATGGTTTTTATTGGTTTTTTATGCGAAACCTATTTTGTTTGATGATTCGGTGTTAAGTAATATCTAAGAATGTGTTAATATTAACTTGTTTCATATTTCAGTTAGTTAGTTAGTTAGTATATGATGTCACTTATAAGTATAAAATCTTGAATGGTGCTTTTGACTGTTCTGAATTGTTACAGAAATTTAGCCCTAAAATTCCCTCTTTTGACTCTAGAATTAATCCACATTTTGCTGTAGTCAATTTTAAAAATAGTCCGGTGTGTTAATTACTATTATCATGTAATCAAATTCATAATTTTGATTTTTTTTTTTTGATAGTTATTTAAAGTTAAAAACTTGTATTTATAAATTAAATGTCCGTTGTATAATTTTTATTCAATATGTATTTTAATTATTCTTTTTAAAAGTTAATTTAACGACAATTTTGTTTTTCTGGTATAACAAAAACTGTACTCTTAATCCTCTGGGGCATTATATATTCAATTAATTTCATTGAATAAACATCTATTATTATTAATTCTGTTTTTAGTATAATATTTCTGTTTGTTCCATTTGTATCAGTGATAATAAATAAAAATATTTATTGAGTTCCAAGAATAGTGAAATTAAAAAATAAACTGTTTTGGAATAATTTAATCATCAATGTTAACTACATAATATTAGTAATAATAGTACATTAAAGGTTTTATAATAAATAGAATAATACACAAATGTGTCCCTTATGTAATGGTCAATGTATTAGTAGTATGATATTAAAAGTGGTATTTTAATTTAGGTTATATATAAATTAAGTTATAGCAATGAAGTTTTTTTTTTTTTTTAAATACTTCATGCACAATAAGATGTGTTTAAATAAATCTGGAACTTTAAGAGAATGTTATACCCATATGTTAAAATTTACAAAAACAACATGTGTTCAACAGGGCCAATTTTATGTTGTTAGTTTTAATATACCTGTCAATATCAACTATCTTAAATTGATCCCGCTGAATAAAAACATGTTATGTCATAAATTTTTAAGATGGAAAAATCATCTTAGTCCTTACAATGTGAGTATAACAATTTTACAACACCCAATATTTTGGTATCAAACCACATTGCTACATCAATCAAAAAATAATTTGATCTACCGAGTTATCTTAAATACCGAAATAATTTAAATACTATTTTGTATAACCTGATAATATAATAATAAGTTAAATGAAATGTTAATCTATTAAATAGTTTAATATTTGTAGAATAACAAATAAATGTAAAATATTTTTTATAATACCTAAATACTTAATAAACACTGCAGTAGTGACCTATAAGTACTAATAATTTATTTAAAATAATATTAATATAGCACACTAAATATGACAAATGCTAATGCATTTGTAATTTTTTTTTGTTCAAAAATATCAATATAAAAAATGTCTTTGATACATTAGTAAAGATCAATCTGGGATTCACAATGGTTTGTTATGTATAAATAAGGAGCCACAAATTTGAATAAGTGAAAAAAATTGTCCAAAAGAAAAAATGTAAAAAGTCAATTCAAAGCAGTAAGCACCAATCAAAAAGATAATGAAAAGTTTTGTTAATTGAAATAATTACTCTTTGATAACTTTGTTCTTTAGTTATCTGTTCCACTTGTTCAACTAGTTGTCTAATTCTAAGTTGTAGATCAGATAATTTTTCTTTTTGGGCTACTTGAGCATAATCAATAGCTTGGTCACCAACTTGAATATCCAAATGAACTCTCTATATTACGTATAATAAATTAAAATTAAAAATTGCTCAGTAATTTAATAATTATAATAAATATTTACCAGTTGTGTACCACCAATCCAAGCAGTTGTATTGGAATATAAACAAATTATATGTTCACCAGGTATATGAGATGTAAATGCAATTTTCCCTTCATAACTATAAACCTAAAAAAAGATATTTCAATTACTATGATATGAATTAACACAACAACTGTTAAACATACACGAGATAAAATAATTTTCATATCCGGATCTTTGACCTCAACATTCATACCTATTCCTGGAGTGGGTGGTGTAAAACCACCAGTTCTCACATCAAAAAGTTCTACTTTGTAATGTGCTGAAAGAAAATTCAAATTATTAAGAAAATATAATGTAATGTATTTTATTTCAATTATACTAACACACTACAGTGGTTTCATCAGGAATCTCCTCAATGAAGCATTTGCGTTCTGTTTCACCAATATGGAAGTATAAGCTCTGAACTGAACCCCAAAAATATGCAATTAATAACAAAGACAAGGAATACAATTTCATTTTCTTTTTGTATACAATTTAAAATTAAAATTGAAAAAAGATTATTGTGAAAATATATATGCAATTAACAATTTTTGTTAACGCCATATACAATTTAAACTTGAAAGTACCTAATATCTAAATCCGAGAGCGGTGTGTAAGTTATGAACATAGGAACGATACTGATGTCATAACTCTATCAATACACGTCATTAAATTCATTCTCATACACAACATCTAACTATTGATAATTGTATAAACATTAAACATTGATAACAATAATGATTTTTGAAGTAAATATTGTACACTTGGACCATATTTACACATCACAATCACAAACCTAAACGAAATTTAAAATAAATGTATTGATTATGCAGTATAAAATTAATTTATATTATTAATTAAATTTCATTATAAATTACTCAATTATAATGGATATCATTGTTTTACTTACAATATTTTCTGCATCAGTTATTGTTGGATTATTTTGTTTTGTATTTCGATATAAATTTTTTAAAAGTATGTGCATAGTATCATTATAGGAAGGATTCTAGTTTGGCTGTCTATCGATTTTTTTTGAAAATATATGTGTGGATGCGCGATAAGAATTTAGAACAAAGACTGTCGAGATTCGTTCGGAAGTTACTTATATTAAAAATATTTTTTCGTTTGGAAGTTACTTATATTACAAATATTGTTTCGTTTGGTTGATTGTTATTCACTCAATCATGTCAAAATTTCAATCGAAAAAGAAACTCGATATATTGAGAAAAATCCACTCACAGGGTAAAAGCTTTAAAAGTAAGTAGTATGATCTGTATGTTTTGATTTTACCAATGGATAACAAATTAAAATCCATATATTTAAGAAAATATTAAATTCTAATTTGTTTTTTCTTCATACACATTATGGAAATACCAAACTTTTTGAAATTTTTCCCACATAACTTCCATAGAAATTCATCCATTTTTTTTTTTACATTCTAATTGTAAATACATCCGAAAACACATTAAAAAAAATTAAATAGAATTGTACGTTGCCAAACTAGAATTTGCCAATTTTTTAATCAGTATAATTAAGAAGTTATAATTATTTTAGAAGAAACAGAAAATGTTATACAAGAAGAACTTATAGTTAGACCTAGACCAGGAATTCGTGTACCAAATCGTAATACATTACATCGAAATAATCGTAATGTTATAGGTAAAATAATATTCCTGCCTTATTTTATATTTAAGATATAAAATCCCATAGAC